CCCACGGACATCCCACGGGCATCCCCCAGACATCCCTGGCATCTTCTGCAGCGTCAGCCCACAGAGCATCCCGCGGGTCCCACGGCCACGGGAGCCACGAGTCCCCTGCAGGCAGCCGGTTCCATCCCGGTTTGGAGGAGATGCTCCCAAGGAACCTCAAGGGTGCTGGGAGACACGCAGAGAAGAGTTGGACTGATGAGGGAGTTCAGAGAAGGAGGGAAAAGTGATGCAAGGTGTCAGGAACACAACGGAGGAGGGAAAATGAAATCCTTGGGATGGTTGGTCTGCAGGGGAAAGACTGAGCGAAGCGTGGAGGTCGCTGTGGATGCAGCAGGAGGAAGGGGATGTATCGTGGGCATGCAGCAGGAGAAAGGGAAGGATCTGCTCTCCGAGGTCACAGCAGATGCAAAGGGAGAGAGGCATTAAATAGCAGGGAGTGGGATGGCAGGAGAAGCATTCAAACAAGGCTGGCACAGCACTGGATCAGGTCACCGGGAAAACGCTGTGCCCGGAACGACTGGAGCAGATCTCTAGAAATGCCATGGAAAGAGCTGATCCTGTCACTGGGCTGGATTGAGTGACCCCCTGAGATAACATTCGTCTTCTTCTCTGTGATTCTATAATTAAATACCACATCGATCCTGTCAGAGATGCAGCAAAAGGACCAACGTCATGATGTTCTTGCTGCTCCAAGATGCCAGTCCTGGACAGAGCCTCTCTCCTCAGGCACTCCCATGGGCACTGTGAACACTGTGGGAAGGGATGGGCACAGCTCCTGCTCCGTTTGGAGGCAACCAGTTGCAGAGACTGAAGTAATTGCAGCCCCCTGGGATCTGTCCGTGAGAGCACGAGCGCGTTCCCCCCTCTCGTTACCGAGCATCAAGTGCCTGATGAGAGAGGGATTTGGGGACAAGACAATGCGAAGATATCTAGCACAAAATGATTAGCCAGAATGTATTGTTAATAAGCTGCTTATTCATATAATTGGAAATTATTTGCAGCCAGGGTGTCAGTACAGCCTTCCCGTGCTGCTCTGCTGGAGCGAGGCAGGTACTGGCCCAGGGGACACTGCTGCTGGCAGAGGAGCTCAGTGCCACTTACTGCTCTGCTGGCACTGCCTTCAAGGGCAGAGAAGGGCACAAGGATGCCTGGGGGAGGCAGAAGGGACTGGGCCAAGCCTCACTGACCAGGGCACATTCCCAGTATGGCAAGCACAAGGTGTCTGGGAGCAGAGTGGAATGACATTTCCTTCTCCTGGCCCTGGCTGAGCCCAGGCCTCTGAAGCACCTGGGGGATCAATCAGTCACATGTGCCTCCAAAAACTGAACCATTTCTCCCTGTTTCTGAGATCAGGGACTGCTGTTAATGGTGTTCCTGGTGGGAGTGTCAAGGGACCATTTGGGGACAATGCTGGAAATGGAGCAAGATGGTGAAGTGGCTTCTGTTGATGCTGGACCACCTGGCAGCAGTTTGCTGGGGAAACATCTGACTGCAGCCAGACCACGAGAGCAATGAAGAACACACCCCATGCCACAAAACCAGCCCAGAAGCACCTGCAGACACCAGGATATGAAACCAGCCAGGGGCACCTGGGCCCAGAGTCTCCCAGTGGACAACAAACCCAGCTCTGTGCCCCTCCAGGCTGGAAGAGGAGCTGTGTGGGTAAGAAGCCTCATGGCCAGCCTGGCCATGGGCTGGGGTGGGTGGGCAGTGACAGAAAAATGACATCAGCCAGGCAGGAGCATCAGGACAGGCTGAACTCTGCTCTCAGCCACTTCCCCAAATGCACACTGAAATTATCTTAATATCAATGATGTAACGAGCCATGGTGAGTGATTTCCGCCTGAGGCAAGACCTTGAGCACTTCCCCCAGTTGTGACACTGCGAGGCAGGAGGGATCACAAGGCAGACACACTTAGGACACGGTGGGCAGCCCCCAGCAATGCCCCTTCCCTGGGCCTGAGGATGGCCGTGGAGCTGAGAGCTCTCCTCCTCCTCTTCTGCTTCCCAGGTAAGAGAAGGGCTGGGCATGTCCCAGGGGAGTGGGACACCCTTCCCCACCTCCTGCTGCCCAGGGAGCTCTGCAGTGGGAGGACTCCAACACCAGAGTCTCAGCTGGGCACTCGCTGCAGGGGTGGGGAGGGAATGGGGAACCCCAGTTCCCACCACCACACATCTGGCTCCTCCAGGCTCCCAGGACAATCCACCCTGGGAGCACAGAGCTGCAGCCTCCAAGCAGCCCCTGTGCCTCCCCCAGTTGGCATTTCCCATCACGTTGGCCCTGCTCAGCTCCTCTGATTGCAGTCCTGGGTCAGGGCAGTGTCCGAGCACCACCTGCCTCTTGCCATCCCCACAGAGAGCACAAAGCTTCCAGCATGTGGCAGGTTGGGGAATCAAGGCAACCTGCACCTGGCACAGCCTCAGCCACGAGCTGCTGAGCATCCTCTGGGACGCAGCACAGAGAGGCTGCAGGTTGCACACAAGCTCCAGCTCCTTCCCTCTGCCCCATCCCAACCCGGACAGACCCCCCGAGCCCCAGGACACTGCATGGGCTGGGGTTGGTCTCCTTTGCCTGCAGCAAGGAGCAGTGACAACAGGGCTGGTTTGCACCATGCACAGCTCCAGTCTGGCTTGAAGGTCCAACGCCTCCAGCACCCAATTGCCTGTGGGTTTTAAACCACAGCTCCAGTCCCAGCTCAAATCTTTCCAGCTCCACCAGCCACAGGTGTCCACGGGGGAAGGTCAGAGGCAGTTTCCCCGTGCCTGGCTGTGGGCAGCCCTGCACCAGCTCCTCTCTCCCTCACCACATCTGGTATTTACAGGTCTCCAGGCCCAAACAACTAATGCTGAGGAGAGGCGACAGGAGGGGAGTGTTCTGTATCTCCAGTGTCCTTACATTGCAGAGATCATAAACTATTACCAGATAGTTTGGTGCCGCGTGAAGGAAGGACGGTGTGATACCATAGTGAGCACAAGCAGCCCACAGAGGGTTGAAGCCACAGGCAGGACAACTACACTAAGCGATGACCCCGTGCAGAGGACTCTGTCTGTCACCATGACTAAGCTCCGGGCAGAGGACTCAGGCACCTACTCCTGTGCTTACTCTGTCGATAGAGTTTATCGACTGAAGACAATCTCCCTGAACGTGTTCAAGGGTGAGTACCTGTATCCCCACACAGTTGCCAAGTCTGGTCAGAAAGCAACACCATTCCTTCCCCTGTCCTGTCCCACCTCTCCCCCACAGCTGAGCAGCTTCCCCTGACCCTGCTGAGCCTCACTCGCTGCCTTCCCTGCTCACACAGCCCAGCCCTGCAGGGCTCAGCTCCCTCCTGCCCTGGGCTCTCCGGGCGGGAGTGCCCCGGGCACGGTCTGTGCCTGGTGCCCAGCTCAGCCCTGTGCCCAGCGGTCAGTGACAGCTGTCTGTCCCACAGAGGTGCTCAGGTGGGAGCTGGACAGCCTGGCCGTGCAGTGCCCGTACAGCAGCAGGGCGGTCGCGGCGGGGCAGAAAGTTTGGTGCCGATGGGAAGGGCAGAGCAAGTGCACAATCCTGGAGAAGACACATCACTATTCAACATGGAGCCAGGACAGAGCTGTGCAGACCAGAATAGAGATCGAGGACTACAGTCAAAGGGCTCTCACTGTCACCATCAAGAAGCTGCAGGCCTGGGACACTGGTGTGTACTGGTGTGCACACTACAGAGACTCTGGTCTCTCCCGGATAACGGAGGTCGTGCTCTCTGTGGCCAAGAGTGAGTATCTACTAAGCTCTCTGTCTCCAAGAGTGAGTAATTACTAGGCTCTCTGTGCCCAAGAGTGAGTCCCTACTACACTCCCTGTGCCCAGGAGTGAGTCCCTGCTGGCAGGCAGGTGTGGACGTGGCCGGCCCAGCCTCACCTCCCTTGTTGTCCCCCTGTGTGTGCCACAGCACTGAGAGCTCAGCACTGTCTGCAGCTCACCCTTGTCTCTCTGCCTGTCCCTCTGGCAGACACAGCGAGAGCTGATCCTTGGGATTTTCAAGCCAAAGCTCAGGCCTGGCCCTTCCGTGCTCTGTCTGCTCCCAGCAGAGACTCAGGGAAGGTTCCCATGACTCCCACAAATGCGGCCGCTCATCCCAACTGCTTCCCACGGGGCTGATCCAGCAGCTGCAGCACTCAGCTGGCTCACAGTGGGCACTGCTGGAGACCTCCCCCCTGCCAGGCATTGCTCTTGCTCTGCCCTGGCACCACCAGCACTCCCAGACCTGAGTGCCTGTGAGCAAAGTCCCTGGGGCACCAGAGGAGGAGACAGGACCCCCCTGATTTGTAACTCATCTCTGCACGGGTAATCTGGGTCCAGTCCCTTTCTGCTCCACGTGTCTGGAGGCAGAAGGAGATGTTCTATGAAGAACATATTTAACTGAAGAACTTCTGTGTTCCAGAAGGAGAAGTTCTAAAATTCTCTGCAGGAGCCTGCAGCAGTGCTGGGAGGGGCTGCCCCTGATCTCACCAGCCATTCCGGCTGTTTTCCAGGGACCCAGCAGCACACAGCCAAGGAGTCAGGAAACTTCTCTGTGCAGTGTCTGTACAGAGCCGAGGACTATAAGGCTGTGAGCAAAGCCTGGTGCAAAGTAGGAGCAAGGAAGGAGTGTCACATACTGGCCACCACCAGCTCGCAGTCCCCGGGGCACAGCAGAGTCAGGATCCAGGACGACACCGTTCAGGGGATTCTCACCATCACCATGGAGAAGGTGCAGGCACAGGACTCTGGTGTGTACTGGTGTGCCCTCCACGAGCCCCCCGAGCTCTACCGCATGGAGGAGGTCACGCTGCAAGTGGCCAAAGGTGTGTACAGACCCGCAGGGACACTCCACACTCCCTTCCCTGCCCTCCCTCTGCACTGCCCAGCTCACACCACCTCCCACCCACCTCTGCCTGGGTCTGCCTGCACAAACCCTGCAGCACTGGACTTCTCGTGGCCACCACGCCAAGAGGAGCAGCAGGGATGGGAGCTGAGCCACTCACACAGCTGTGCTGCTCCTCTGGAACCTGGGAACAGCTTCCCCTGTCCTGAGAGGGGTTTCTGTCACTCATCCTCATGATACTAGTTCTGCCCCTTTATAGCAGCTCATCCTTTGATTAAAACTATTAAGACCTTCACACAGGATTGTCCAGGGAACAACTTTAGAGCCATACTTCAAAGATCTGTGACTTCTGGGTTCTCGTTCAGTGTGGTGTTGTGGCATCAGGGCTAGTACTGAGGTCTGGCAGGGGCAGAGCAGCCCCAGGCTGCAGCCTGGCTCCTGCAGCAGAGAGGGACAGCAGCGCAGGAGATGAGAGGGACAGCAGTGCAGGAGATGAGAGGGACAGCAATGCAGGTGATGGGAGGGACAGCAGTGCAGGTGATGAGAGGGACAGCACGATGCTCTGGCTGAACTCCCAGCACATGGGGCTGAGTGTGAGCAGGGCCCTGCACACACAACCCTCCCCTGGCTCAGGAGCAGCAAGGGCAGGGGGTTTGCTGGTGAATGCAAAGCAGCCCCACAGTGACTGTTCCTCTCTCACCTCTGTGGTTGCAGTGTTGGGTCGAACAGCCTCCTCAGAACCTGAAGGCACAAGCCAAGCAACTCCTTTGGATGACAGCCCAGCAGAACCCAGGTAAGGGCTACAGGAAGTCTCTGAGCTCCAACACACACAGGAGCAGCAGAACCAACAGATTGTGCCCCCAAGCCTCGACTTTGCTCACTCCTGTCCATGAATATTTAACAATGAGACAGTTAATCCATTTACCAGGCTGTTCAGTAAAGGGAGTTTTCCCCTTTGGGCATCTGCTGTCATCAACTCCACAGCAGCACCTAAGAGCAGAATCATCCCTCAGCTCCAGTGCAGCAAAGCACAGGAGGAAAAGGCAGTTCCTGCTCCAGTGAGCCTGGAATTGTGCTCAGAGCTTTGAACAGTGGCTTGTTCCTAAAGCCTGGAGAGTAGTTTAGGTAAAGCTCAGAAGGCACAGCCAGATAGGAAGGTCAAGTTGGCATTGCTGCCAGAGAACCAGAACCTCCTTCCAAGTGCACAGAAGTGGGCACAAAAAACCTGCTCCTGTCCCTGTCACTGCTTGGCAAAGGGCTGTGCCACCAGCCCACACTGGTAACTCCTTTCCTCTCCTGTCTTCAGCTCAAGCATGGACACCTTCCTCCTCCTGTCTGTGGTGCTGGGCATCCTGCTCGCCCTGGCTCTCATCACCTCCACAGCACTGTGTGTCAGGCAGTGCAGGCAGAAGGACAGGACAGGTATGTGGAGCTGGGTGGTGCCTCCTGTTCTGCTCTGCCCCTGCCAGAGCCTTCTCTGCCATCACTTTTCCATCCCAGGTGAGCCCATTCCCAGCTCACAGGGCCCTGCAGGAGCCCGGGGAGGTGCCTGGGAAGGCTCCAGCAGATTCCTCACTGCCATCTCCCCTCAACTCATCACACGCAGGTCCCTCCACACCCTGCACAGGAACCTGCAAACACATCAGGGGAGAAGTAAAGTGGGAACAAAGTGTTCCCCAGGCTCAGGGCAGAGAGTTCCCATGGGCACATCCACTGCTCCTATCCCTGGGCAATCCCACAGCCTTCCACAAACCTCCCAAGGCACAGGCAGTGCCCAGGCTTTTCATGGACCTCTCTGCTTCTAAATCCTCTGATTTTGGCTTATTCCAAAGGTAAGAGAGAAGCAGATGACACCTATGAACAACCAGAGGCCACAGCAGAGGTAAGGAAAACAAATGATTCCCACATGGTACTGAGTCCCTGACCAACAGCCTGAGGAGCTGTTGGAGCCACCTGATGAGGACCTTGGAGATCACTTTGGTTGGGAGCAGGAGGGAAATGGTATTTAATGTCAGCAGAGAGAGGAATGTTCCTGTCTGGAGACAGAGGAGGGAAAATAATGCAGGGAAACTCCAGTAGGAAAAACCCACAGTGCAGCACATTCTAGTAACCCCTGAGAAGTGACTCCAGGACAAGTAACCCAGGTCAGACCATGAGATTGTCACCTGTATCCAGGTGTAGAAAAGAGGGTTGTGTTCTTTCACCTCTATCATGACTGGAGGTAAATTTTCACACAGTTTTTTCCTTTCTAGGAAAGTCTTACTCTTCTGGTAGGAGCTGTGCCCTGGCACTGAATCATACTGAGTGTTCTCCCTTTCTTTCATAGCCTGACAGCACTGGAAGAAAGGAAAGTCTCAATGATGACAGCGGAGGCCTAAAAGGCATTAACCTGGACTTGCAATCCTGTTCCAGCCCTGAGGATCCTCTTTACTCCAACATTGAACCAAGTCAGGCTCTCAGGAAGCCCCAAAACAAAAGTGTGGAATATGCTGTCATTGCATTCAAGCAGTTCCCAAGGAGTGACATGAATTGAACACAGAATCCCCAGACAGCCCAGAACTGGGGAAAAGAACTGGAATGCACAGTGGGAATGGGGAGCAGGAGGTGTGTGGGTGGACACTGGGGGAAGAGCTGAGTCCTCCTGCCATGTGTGTGCTGTCTGTGCATTCTCTGCCCTCCCTCCTGTCAGGGGCCAGGGCAGACTTTGGCCAGACTCCTGGTGTTGGGCTATCCCAGGGGCCCTTGTACACCTGCTTTGCCAATTCCATTAAAATGCAGACCTGGAGAGGTAAGTGTGTGGGATTGACCTTTGGAAAGAGAGCAGTCCTGGCTGGGTGTGATATCCCCTCTGTGTTCTGCTGCAAACTGCCTCACTCCTGAGGATTCAGCTGCTGTGGCCAAACAAATTCGTTGCAGTGCTGCAGGGATAAAATGAACCTTGCTGTGAGTGGGTTGGGGATGTGAGTGCTGGATGGGAAGAATAAGCAGAACCAAGGTCTGCACTTCCCTCTCTGTGCCAGAAATGCTCCAACAGACACATTTGCTGCCACAGGAAATGAGTTTGCTGGGGCTCAGCTCCATCTCTCCTAAAGCCCAGAAGCTCTGGCACCTGATGGACCTGCCCCAAGCCCTGCAGACAGGTCACAAACGCCAAACCACCCTCACTGCCAGCCCAGCCACATCCAACAGGCTCCTCCTGCCAGGGCTGCAGCAGGACCTGATGGGAGTGGAGTCTGGAGATTTTCAGTGCTGCCACGACAGAAGCAAAAAGGAAATGGCTCTGGACATGGTTCATTCAGCCCAAGGTTCCCTGACCATTTGCTCCCCAGGCAGTTACACTGGTTGAGCACAGTGGAGTGGAAGAGAGACATTTTCAGGCTGATTCTCAAGGAGAATCCAGATTTGTGCTCACTGGAGCAAGAAGGAACACAGAGGGCCATCAGTTACCTCACAGTAGATTTCTGGTCACTGTGAGGTTACAGATTCTTAACCACCAACTCAAGGAGAGAAAAAGAGGCACATTTCAGAGTGGACAGACCTGCAGCTTCATCTGTCTGTTAGGAAGCTGATAAACACACACATGAAGTCAGGAAAATCCTCCCTGTGAGGGTGGTGAAACACTGGCACAGGTTGCCCAGAGCAGCTGTGGCTGCTCCACACCTGGGAGTGTTCCAGGCCAGGTTGGATGGGGCTTGGAGCAGCCTGGGCTGGTGGGAGCTGTCTGCCCATGGCAGGGGGTGGGATGAGATGGTCTTTAAGGTCCTTCCAACCCAAACTTCTCTATGAACCATGAAATCCTGCCCTGGTGGGAGCTGGGCCGAGCAGGACACTCAGGCTGTGGCTTCAGGCCATCACATGATGCTCCTGTCAGGCTGTCTAGACTGAGCTGTGGCTGGAGAGGGCAATGCTGATGCCTGGATTTTCAGCCCACGAGAGAAATGCCTGTCCCTGGTGAGTTGCTCAATGTGCAGGATGAAAAAGATGCCAAGTTCCTGTGCTCCTTCCTTCCGTCAGGGCAAGGAGGGGACGAAGGAGCTGTCCCTGGGCAGAGCCTGTGTCACTCTGCTCCAGGCTCCTCTCCTGGCCCCTTCTCTGCTCAGCTCACATGGAGAAGCTTGTGAACCTCATCTTGCTCTTCCTGTCAGGTAAGGAGCAGGTGTAGCCCTGGGTTTCAGGGAGCAGAGGGTTGGGGCCAGGCTTGGTGTGTCCTGCAGGCTCCGTGCTCAGCCTGCTCCTGTCCCATCAGCGATCCCAGTGCTCCCTCCCAGCTTTCCTCCCAGGGATCCTTTGAGTCAGAACAGGAAACTGCTGAGAGAGCCTCATGTGTCAAATGTGGGGTTGCAAAATCCTCTGTGTTTGCTTTTGCAGAGCTTCAAAAGGGATTTGCATAGATGTAAATTACCACATGGGGAGGGAATTAGCACCCAAGGGGCACTTGGCTGTTTCCAGCTCAGCCAGGAATGTCCATCTGGGGGGAACCAGCTGGGGGTCCCAGCCAGCAGCCTTCTCTCTCCAGCCACTTTGGGCATCCCAGCTCCTGGCAGCAGTGCAGGAAAGGCAACCTGAGATGTGTGAGCACAGAAACCTGTCCCAAAAATCTCAGAGCTTCTGGAAAATGTTCACTCTGCTTTTTCCAGCAGCACCCAGGGAGGGAGAAGGAACACAGAGAGTTTGTGACCTGTCAGCAGAATCGGTTGAGAAGGACTCAAAGTTTTCTACAGAGGCACTGGGAAGTGTTTGAATCTTGTGACTGATCTAGGAGTTTTTACAGTGCTGTGGGAGGTGAGGAGGGTCTGCAGGAGACACAGGAGAGAGAGTCCAAGTGCTTTGGAGAGATTGCACAGGAGCAGGAGGGAATGCAGTAAGGCAGTTCCTGACTGGGACAGCTCAGTGCAGCAACATGTTGGAACAGCAACTCGTAGGTGTGGGATACTTGCAGAGCACAGATCCATTCTGTCCATTTTCTAGTCAAGCTGAAAAATCTTCAGAATTTTTGGTTTACAATTTGCTTAGAACAGCTGAAATTACTGAGCTAAAAGGCTCAGCCAGCACAAAGCCTCAAAGAGCCTCTTGTTTCGTTTACTTTTGGTGTATCCTTACTTGTGGCTCACAGGAGCTTCTGCCTCTGAGTTTTTTCACTGGAAACAGAGATTTCCACAAACACCACACTGCACTTCTCCCTGGTAGTATTAATAGCTCAGTCTGCTCCTTCTGCCTTTGCTGCCACAAAGGGAAATGAAAACTAGAAATGAGGAACTAAGACAATCAAAAAAAAGCAGCCACAGACCAGTTGACAACATGATTAAAATTAGCAAGATACTAAAAGGTAGGGTGGAAGAAGCTGCTACACCCCTGGAATTAGAAACTGAGATTAAGAAGTGACCTCCTAACCTGCAGCAGGACACTGGTTTGTGGGTGTCACTGATTGCAGCAATCCCCAGGGGTGACAGCTGCCATCACTAGAGCTCTGAAGGATGAAAAGGGTGTTTAGCATCAGCATGGCAGTGAGGGAGAGATCGAAGGGTCTAAGGATAAGATCCAGCGAGGGACAGACCCGAAAGGGCCTTGGCTCACCCTCCCTCCCTCCCCTCCAGCATCCTGCGCTGCAGAGAACGTCACTGTGGTGTACGGGATGGAGGGAGGAACCATCTCTGTCAACTGCTCCTACAACCTCTGGAAGCAGAGGTGGAAAGAGAAGAGCTGGTGCAGGCAGGTGGCCAAGACCAAGTGCCAGCACGTGGTGAGCACCAGGCCCTTCTGGCTGCCTTTCCTGAGGAACAGGAACGGCACCACCTCCATCAGGGACAACATCCACGACGGGATCCTGACGGTCACCATGAGCAGGCTCAGGAAGGAGGACTCTGGGCTCTACCAGTGCAGAACTGACTTCCTGGGGGAAACAAACAGCCTGAGGAAGGTGCAAGTGGAAGTGCTGACAGGTATGTCCTGGGGCTCTGAGGTTCACCACTTCCTACTTGAGCTTCATGTGTGGCTGCAGATGCCAAGGCCTCACTTCAGTAAACAGCTATTTTCTGGCTCTGAGCAGGATGTGTTTCATTGCCTCTTTGATTGCTGATGTGCAGCAATGTGACTTCACAGCCACAGAACTCTGACCCTCCATCCCCCTGTTGTTGCCCAGGCTGATCTCCCAGCCTGGTGAGCCTCACCTCACCTCAGCTCCCTGCCCAGCTGGGACCCTGCTCTTGGTGGCACCAACGGACATCACACAGAAACACCTGCAGACTAAACTGTTCTCTTTGTGCCAGCAGCTGTCCTGGAGACCCAAGTGCCTGAGGAGCCCAGAGCTGTGCAGAGCATCTCCAGGTGAGCCAAAAACTCCTTGTGCTGGGACCTCTGCCTAGGCTGAGGCAGATTAGCACCAGTAACCCCATTTGGAGGTGAGAGAAGCACCACAGGCATGTTCTCTACCCCTTCCTAATCTAGGATGATTCCTAGAGCTGCTCTGTGCTTCCCAAACAGCAGCTTTATCCCAGTCCAAAAACGCAGAGCTCGGTGCCAAGCAAATCACTCGATGCTAATTCACTTGTGAGAGTCCCTGTCCCCCTGGCTCTGACCTCCCAGGCTGTCTGTGGCAGGAAGTGTCTCCATCTCCACACTCTGCACCACGAGAGTTTCTCCAAAGGCTGATCCACTCCCTTCATGGCTGTACTCCTGGTTCCCCACAGGACTCCTGCTGGAGCAGATCTCACTCTCTTCTACATCCTTGCTGGGTTCCTGGGGGCCAAGTTCGTGGTGGCTGTGCTGATCTGTGTCATTGGCAGCAGCAGGAAGAGCAGAGGACGAGAGCAGGAGCCAAGGCTGACTGAGCAGCAGGTCCTCCCTGTCCCTGCTGCCCTGGGGCACAGTGGAATCAGCTCCTGTCGGGAGAGCTCTGCATAGAGCTGAGCTAAGGTTCCCTGTGTGTCCCTCAGAACTCCATTATCACAGCAAGAGGAGCAAATCTCCCTCAGGGACCACGGACAAACCCCCAAGCTCAGCTGCCTGAGGTTTCCACCTCTGTCCCATGAGCAGGACACAAAAATGGGGTTAGTTTGGATAGAAGCATTGCAAGAAGACTCTACCCTGGCACTGGGTGGTGTGGGAGGGAACACACCTCTGAGTGTACAAAGCCTGTGGTGCTCGTGCAGCGCTGAAGGCTGAGACAGGCACGAGTTGACTGTTGGGATGTGGCTGCACAATATCAGGAGTTTTACCATCACATCCGAGGTGACTTCATTGCTCTGTCGCAAACTGCCTGGAAATAAAGTTAGCAGATTACATCACAAGAGCTGCAGGAACTCGTTTCTGCCTTCCCAAACAGCCTTGTGTGGCTGTTCTCTGCCCTTCCTGCCTCAGCTTCCCATTCTCTGCCCTTGCACTCTGCCATTTCCCCTTCTGGGGGTTGTTTTTGTGACCATCACTGCACTGACCAATCCGTGGCTGAGCCCCTTGAGCTCTGGGGCATTTCTGAGGTGTCTGAAGTGTTGGTGTGGAGTCTGTACCAGGAAACCTCCAGGCATGTGCAGGTGTGATCCCCAAACACAATGAAATCTCAACACAGAGCAAAAGTTTCTTGGTTTATAAACTTTTACTAGCTGCAGAATGTACACAGTACTTACAATTGCATCTATTAAAGACCAAAATACACTTGAAAAAAATGCATCATATAAAAAAAAAAAAATATAAACCTGTAACTATGTACAAACTTAGCCTGACAGGACATCGATCTCAGCCCCTCCCACACCCACTGCAAAGGGTTTTTTCCTCCCCTTTGCAACATGCAGAGCCTTGAAGCATCACTTGAGGACTCTTTTTTTCCCAAATGCCATTCTCTACACACATAAATGTGGTTTGGGATGGGTTCACTGCTTGGGGCACTTCAACCAAGTTTCTTCTTCCATCCTCACCCACTTCTACTCACTCCTGGAGTTTTTGCTCAAGTGTAGCCAATCCACAAGTATTTCCTACTGAATTCAAGTTTTGAACTGGACAGTGTCTCCAGTTTAAGCAGTTCCCCCAGCAAAGCAGCAGCTGTTGGGTAGCACTGACTGGTGGCTCCAACCTCACCGAGCAAACTCGACTGTCAGCAGTGACCACACAACCCAAAATAGGAAAACGTGCCCAGAGCTCTCAGGCTGCCACATCACTAGCTAAAGTAGTAACAAGACGACTTTCTCTAACACAAATCCATGTCTCCATACACATCCTACAAGGGATCAGAGAACCTACACATGAAGGGCTGATGGGGAGACAAGTTCCAGCAGGTTGGGAGAAATTTATAAGGTCTTTAAGAAAAGTAATTACTCATTAAAAAAACAAAACCAAACCTACGTCAGAGCAGTAATTTTGCTTCCTAAATTTCCAGCCCTCAGAGGGGTTCCCTCAGGACAGGGATGAGCCATCAGGTGAAGAGCAGAAGCATCATGGAGAGACTTTTCCTCAGCATGGAAATGTCCCAACAAAATGTACAGATACTCTCCAAAATATTTACAAAGCTGCTGCAAAGCCAACTAAAGCAAATGCTGTTGTTGCTGCACTAACTGCTGCAGGTTCCTGGGATGGGAGAGCTCCCAGGAAATGCTGTGTGAGGGTTTCAGGTGCCAGCTGAGGAAACCAGCACCCCGTGGAACTGGGCAAGGCAGAACAACCCAAGGCTCCAGCGATGCTGTGGGAGTGACACTGCCTTTGAGACCACTAGACAGTGCTGATGTCAGGTCTGTGGACAGAGCACTAATTGCTGCTAGAATTTCAGACAAAGCTGAAAGGAAGAAGGTTGATTTGCCTGCCCAGGGGCAGCAGCTCCTCCCACAGCTGCAGAGTCACTGTCAGGACCTGTCCCAACAGCAGTGTCACTGTGGGGAGGGCACAGAAACATGGCCAAGAGCAGAGAGAGATGCAGTGAACTCAGGCAGAAGCAGCTGCACAGTCACAAAGCCCTTCTGCACTCCCTGGCCACCTGCCTGCACTGAGCCCTCTGCTCCTCCAGCATTCCTTCCCTTCTTGTCACTCTTGGGTTGAGCACTTTCCTTTTCTCCAAACAGAATTTCCAAGGCTCAGTCTCCTGCATCCTCCCAGGCTCCTACATCTGGTTCGTTTCTCCTCCACTTTGCCTTTAGTGCTTCCAGGAAATGGGAAAACATGGAGAGGGCAAATAATGCCAGGTGTATTTTTCAAACTGCGTTTACATTTTTTGCCACTTGCAAACAGCTTTCACTGAATTCAACCCACTCTCACCCACTCCTGGCTGCTCTCCTCCCACCCCTCACTCTGCAGCTTCACCTGCCCAGGCTCATCTCTACCTGACCACTTCCACCACCAAATCTCAAACCAGTAAGAAAGGAGCACTCAGAAGCCATAAGGAGCACTGAAGGATGTGTTTTGTGGAGATGCTCAGCCAGGTGTAGGCCAGGAAAACATCCTTGTTTGCACATCCAAGTACTCCTCCTGCATTAGTGAAGTGCCACTTCTATTTTGTTTTAGAGAGGACAATCTACAAGGAGCCTGAGAGGTTCATCAGTCTCTGCCTCCAAGTGTGGAACTCCTTTGGGTCCAGCAGGATGAGCTGAGCTGCCCCAGCTGCTGCCATGGAACATCCCTCACTCTGCAGGACTGTAGAGCTGCTTTAGACACCAAGAAATGCCATCACAAAGCCATCACTGAGACTGCAGATCTGGTGTCTTCTGCAGGAACTCTGCACTGCACTGGCAGCTTTAGGGGAAGACTGAGAACAAAAACTCCTGGGGAAGAGACTTGTTTGAAAGTTTGAATCCTTTTTACACTCACATCCAGTTTTCTTCCAAAGCAGCAACTACTGGCAATAAACATACAAATCCGCCCAGAGGTTTGCTTGCACTAATTAATCCTACCCCCCACATCACCCCTCCCACCTCAGTTCTCGGGACAGACACACAGTACACCAAGTCCTGTAGTAACCTTGAGCATTTCTGATGGCTGAGCCTTCCCCACACAGGAGGTTTCTGTACACATTTACAAAGTGAAAAGAATTCCCTTCAGTTTCTGCCACATCCAGAAGTGCCACAACAGGGACCAGCTCAGGGGAACGAAGTCCAGAGGAGTGGATGGAATCCCAGGCCTGCTGGGCAAACACAGTCCTGTGGTGCAGCCAGAGCAGTGCTGGGCTGTGTCCCTGGGCTGTGGCTCCAGGCCCAGGCAGCACAGGCCACGGGGCCTGCTGAGCTCTGTGCCACACTCACCCGTGGCCAAGCTGAGTGCAAGAGGTGGTTACACGAAGGGAAATCAAAGGCCTGAGCAGTCAGACTCCAAATCCCTGTGCTGGGCCAGGAGAGTGTCCCAAGGGCGTCTGAAAGGTTGTGTTTGTTGGGCTAAACCCTCCACCACATCCTGAGCTCGTGGTGTGGGACAGGCTGTGGCTTGGGCATTGTCCACTCTGAGACTCGCTGGACACACTGGACAGGCAGGATGGGAATTCCATTCAGGAGTTTTCTCCTGGAAGCAGAGGTTAGGAGACTCTGATCATCTGTGTCATCGCCTCCTCGTTGGTCTGAGCTGCATCCTGCAGGCACAAAACACATCCAAGGTTGGAACTTCAGCACTTCCACGAGGCAGAGAGCAGCACACAGCCATCAGGAGGAGATGCTCCTGTCCCTCCATGATCTCAGAAAATGTCCTGTTTTTCCTGGGATTCACATGCTAGTGCAAGACTGGGATACATAAACTCTAACAGTTCCCAGGAATGTGCTGCTCCTGGTAACAGGGAAGACCTAGTGCTGGTCTGGTGTTTGGGGAAGATTCTACTGCAGAGAAAGAAATATTCCCTGAAGCCACAAGATTGCTCTAAAGCACTGACCAACACCAGAACCTGATATTGCAAACCAACATGCAGCTAAGAATCAGATGTTCCACGTGTTCAGTTTCCATCAGAGGTAGAGAAAGTGTCTCTACCTCCAATCCATGTCCCAGAGGAACACTCCTGGTGCCCAGCCAGGAAGGTTATTCTACCAACAGAGAATGTGTGTGTTTGCCCTAAGAAATACGAAGTCAACACACTCCTATCAACTTCACTATAACTTAATCCCTCGAGGCAAACAGCACTTTGTCTCTCCGAGTGAGACAGGTTTTCTCCAGTGCCTCATCACAGACCCCAGGGCAGAGAGGAACAAGGGGGAGCCCAAACCTCACACAGAACAGCACAGACACCTCTGAAGTGCTCCTGAAGGGCTGGCCCAAGTTCCACTCACCTGCATGTGAGGACTGTCCTTCTCCTTCGGGGAGAAGAACCTGCCTCCCTCCCCTCTCTTCCTGGCCATGGCGTGGCGATGCCGCGACTCGTGCAGGTATTTCTGCAGCAGAGGGAGAGGTCAGAACAGCCACAGCCCCCAGCCCAGGGCCCCCCAGGGGACACTCCCTGCCCAGTGCCCACCCATCCCCTGCCCCATGGGTATGTGCTTACGGTTCTGCAGTTACACCTGCCACAGCCCCAGAACCAGTCAGGCTGGAAGAGACCCCAGTGGGACATCTGGTCCCACCTCCCTGCCCAGGCAGGGCCAGCCCAGAGCACAACACACCCCCAGCTGCATCCAGTGGAGCCAGAACTGTCCCCAGGGACTTCAATATGTATTCTGACCTTAAACCACCACAACCAAATCAGAGAACTGAGGAACAGCACAGTTGTAGTCCTTGTTTTACAGCCCAGGGGGATCCTGAGCCTCCCCCCCAGCGCAGCCCTGGGTGAGACCAGAGTTTTATTCTCACCCTTCTCTCTTTGGGGATCTTTCCCTCTGCCTCCAGCTTGGCCCGTGCCTGTCTCCTCTTGAGGATTCGGTGGTACTGCTTGGCATTGACATACAGGGGCTCCTCCTCCAGCATCTCTGCCCCAGGCAGGGGGATCCTCTGGATGGCTGGCACTGACCCAGCCCCAGGTACCATCTGCACGAGAAGTGGTTCAGCACTTGAGCTCAGGGCACAGAGTGAACACAGCAGAGCAATTAAACCCCCAAAGGTTGAAATGGAAAACGTTTGGGTTTGCTCAGACAATGCAACTCAGATAACGAGGCTGCTTAAAGGAAAAGCAGCAGTAAAGCTGCTCTCAAAGGGCAGAACAAATCCAGACAACTCCGTTACTGCTCAGTCCTGACTGGGTTTGTCTGAGACAGGAAAGATTCCAGTACAACATACAATTCTGTGCCCGTGTTGCTGCTGCTTGTCCAGCTAAACGTGCAGGACGTGCCCATTGTTTGGGGTTGTCTTATTCCCTGCCCATTAACGGGTGAACCTTGCAGAGCTGCTGACATCTAGTGGGGACAAGCACAGCCCAATTAAAAGGCTACAAAGGAACCGGAATGGGCACGAAAAGCCTTCCCAGTATCCCATCTAACCCTGCCCTCCTGCAGCTTAGAGCCATTCCCCCTTGTCCTGTCACTCCACGCCCTTGGAAAATCCAGGCAGATTGTGTCCAGACACCTTAAAGCTCACCCTTTAAGGAGATCAGTGAAGTTTCACACCTACCATGACCATTCCCCCCGAGTTGACCACGTTCCCAGCCACTGGCAGTGTCACTGTGACTGTCCCCTGGCCACTGCTGGTGGTGTTGGTGTTGGCTCCAGTCTGGACAATCTGTGCTCCAGCCAGGCTGGCTGCTGGGATGGTGATCATGCCTGTAACAGGGACTGTAACTTTAAGGAAGTAAAACACAAAAGAAAAAAAAAGAGAAACAAAACAAAAACACGCACACAGAAAGAAGGGAGCACCATTAGTCCCACTTCTGCCAGTTACTCACTCATCCTTCCACAGCATGTACAGCTTCAGGAGAGCACGGAAGGGAAGAACTAAACTCCCCCTGAATTCCTGGGGTTTGTGCTTGTACCTGCAGTGACCCAGTGTGAGGTCAGAGGACATGTGCCCTCAGGGCTAACAGCAAAACAAAGGGTGTCTATCCTAGCAGCCAAAGCCAAGAGGAATTGTGGTTTCTCACCTCAGAGTGAGCTCCTGGGTGACACCACAAACATCTCTTCACTCAGCCAGCACTCACAGCACTCAGCAGTGCAGCTCTGACAGTGGGTACAGCTCTGTGTCCCTCCCACCCCTCCTACCTTGCTGCAGGATGGTGCCGTCGGCGTTCACGGGCTGGTACACGATGGTCTGGCCCTCAGCAGCCTGAGCCACCTGCTGCCCCTGAACTGCAATTTGTTGCTGGGTCTGGACAAAACAGAGAGCACAGGAACCTTACAAACGGCTTGGGTTTGTCACATTTCGCAATTCCTGGACTATCACATGGTGTTTGAGGTGTTCCAACAGCTCTTGCTTCATGACCAGCAGCAGGAAACAGGCTGGAGCACAAAGCAACTGGGGGTGAAACACCTGAAGCACATGTCAGGGACTCTGCCAGTCCAGTATGCAATACTGAAAACACATTCTAGGCTTCCTGGCTCACTGTATGTGAAAGAAGAACTGTCCTGTTTGACTTTGGCCCTCAGCAATACCATCAGCACAAACCCCAGGGGTGACTGGATCACTCCACAAATGGCCCAGGGATGGAATTAGCAATGCTTCATGTTTCCAACTCCAACAAATAAGACAAAAACAACCACGAACCAAGAAAATACAGAAACACAATGGATAAAAACATGCAATCTAGTCATTCTGCCCCAGAGTTACGCATGGAAACACTACAAAAACATGACATTTATTCCGAGTTCTCCTCAATATTAATAATCCCTTTTTTTTTTCCTTAACCACATCTTAAGTCATTTCTCTTCCTGTTCCTCTCCAGAAAACCCTTTCATGCTGGTGCAGTTACCTGTGTCTGGCCAGCAGTAACTGCAGTCTGGGGCTGCTGTATAATGATCTGCTGGGTCTGGCCCTGCTGCCCCTGTACCTGCACAGCCTGCCCACCTTGAATCTGAATCTGACCTGGCTGGACCAACTGAATCTGTGGAAGAAAGAGTCAGAAAGGAACATTAACTATGCCTCTGAGCTCTCCCTCCTCGGCCTCAGCATTACCAACTCATCTCTGAGGATGATTCAGGGTTGCATAGAAAAAAGAAAGCCCTGAGGCTGCTCTGTTTCCACTGTGAAACCAAGAGCTGCAGTGGATTGCTCCCTGTGGCACAGCCAGAGGGCAGAGGAACCAGTGTGCTGTGCCACTGTGCTCCAGCAGCTCTCACTGCTGCACAGCACAGGGTCAAAGGCAATCCACCACTCACATGCAACTGGGAGTAATAAGGCAGAAGAGGCCTGAGGTTTGAGCCACTTGTGGAGTTAATTCTCCACCACACAGAAGTGCTCCTGGTACACAAAGTTGTCCTCAGCTCTGCAGAGTTTTTCCACCACTGTGGGACACTCTGAGATTAAAAAATAGGGACTGGAATAGGATTTGAAGCTTGTGCTTAAAACCCCGTGATGGATTTTCCTCCAAGAACCAGACTGGAAAGAACTTCACACCAAATGTATTGGTTTTCAACCAGAGTCATTTTAAATCACCAAGACATTATTTGCCTTCCTGGCCTGTGCTGAACTGGATTCCTCAATCCCATGCTAAAGCACCAGGACTCATTGTGCCATGGTTACAGCTCTTCCCTTTGCTTTTGAGCAACACACTTCAACCACCTCTTCAAATTTACAAACTGTCTTTTAGACAAGCATTCCCAGGTAACTGCTTCCCAAAAAATCCACCTTCTGCACTTCCTACAGCATTGCCTTCTGTGTGCTGGGGATGTTTACCTTCCCCTTCAGCCATCACGTGTCAGATGAGCTCAAGCACAAGAGTTATTTTCAAGCAGCTTTCTCAAATGATTTGTTTCTTAAATCCTTTCTAAGCCTTGAGTTGAGCAGGCACCAGATCCCCAACTGCACTGTGAGGGCCACGGAAAACAAACGCAGTATCCCAACAGACACAACTCCTGGGCTGGTGGGAGGTGTCCCTGCCCCTGGCAGGGCAGAATGGATGAGCTTTAGGGTCCTTACAACCCAAACCATTTGGTGCAAAACCCCCAAACCCACTCCAGCTGTACTTCAGCAGACATCACCTCAGAGGTCTGCACTGTGCTGCGCCCACAGAGCCAGCTCTGCCTGGCAGTGCCTGGCAGGGGGAGAGCACCAGCCACCCCCCGTGCCCCCTCACCTGCTGCAGCCCCTGCGTGCCAGACACGGGGACCTGCATGATGGTCTGGCCCTGCGCGCCGGGCACGGCCTGCACCATGATGGGCTGTCCCGTGGAGGTGATGAGCTGTCCCCCGCTCACCTGCACCATCAGCGGCTGCCCCTGCACCTGGGGAGAGACAGCACAATGAAGCCCTGGGCATGGAGCTGCCCCGGGAGCCCCAGAGCTGCCCCAGCAGTGTGGGAGCAGAGACTCGGAGCCGCGGGCACCGACCCGGGCTGGGCACAGCTTGGGGCTGAAGCTGCTCCCAGGATGTGCTGCAGGGGAGGATCTGTGTCTGCTGCAGCCTAGTTGCTATGAAGCATGAAAAGCATTACCAGGTTTTCCAGCCACAATGACTGCCTTCATGCACAGCCCAAGAGCAGAGTGGAATAAAGGGAACTCGATTATGCACACCACAGTGACAGATCTCCACTTTGGGGCTCCACTGACACAGCTCTGGGGGAGCTGCTCTGACAGGGACGTTCTGAAGAGGCTTCAGCTCTCTCAGATTCCATGGCTACACCACTTCCATCTCCTGACACAGAGCATGTAATGTGAAATTGTAACTGGAGCAGCACGACATGGAGTTCAGGAAGAAGTGAAAGCAGATGAGCAGCAGTGACTTCTGAGGCCAACGAGGCTCAGAGTGGGTTTATACATGTAAGTACATATATGAGGGTGCTGAGGCACTGGCACAGGTTGCCCAGAGAAGCTGTGAGTGCCCCATCCCAGAAGGGTTTCAAGCCAGGCTGGATGGGGATTGGAGCAACCCAGGCTGGTGGGAGGTGTCCCTGTCCACAGCAAAGGGTGGGACTGGATGAACTCTAAAGTCCTTCCAGCCCAATCTATAATCCTATGATAAATTTGGCATGAAAGCCTCTGGGCTCTTAGACCAGCTGTGTCTCTGGTCACTGGCAAAAAGGCCCATGAAAAGAAGAACAAGGGAAAAACCTCTCTGTCAAGTCCCCAGATTCCCCAACTATATACCTGGAAATCCTCCACCTCCAACAGCTTCAGTGTAAAATGACTTATGAGCTAGGGAATCACTCACAAGCTCTGAGATACTTAGGAACAAGAGCAATACAACATGGCAAAAAGTCACTGAGTTCTTGTGTTTCTGCTTGTGAACCCCCAGGAGCTGTGACCACAGCCAGCACACACAGCCTCACACTCTCAGGGGTGCTATGCCAACACATGCAGGGAAATGACAGCTGTGCCTCAGGGGTCAGTGCCTGCACTGGTCTGGTGATGTTACAGGTCACCTCACACTGCTGTGACACTGTCCTGTCCTTCAGCTGGTACACAGCACACCCCAGTCCCTCATACACAGCAGCAGTGCTGGACCTCAGCAGGGAGGAACATGCTCAGCCACGGGGAAGCACAGGCAGCAGCACAATACCGATAAGCAGGGAGGAAAATGACACATTCCAGGAGTTTTGTTAATGGATCATAGCAAGCCAGAACACAACGAAGAGGGGAGGACACACCACCAACCAGAGGCCACAGTGACCTGAGCAATCCACGTCAGGTTTGAACTCTGAACATAAAAAATGCTGTGTTCAACCTTGCCCCTGCAAGCCCATCCCAGCCCTGGAGCCCTCCACAACACCAGTGCTGAACTGCTCTGGCTGCCCAGGGTGTGTTAGCTGCTTCCAGAAGGGTTTGTGGGCTCCTGTGTGAGCTCAGGAGTTGGAGTCTGCAAGGCAGAAGACACCTCACACTGACACAAAGCATTTCTGTCCAATCTGTGATGGATTTCCTGCCTGGATCTGCACTGCTCCAGAGTTTCCCTGTGCTGTTCACAGGTAAAGAACTCAGATTCCCTCAATCCCACGTATTGTCCCCAAGTGCCTTTTGATCACAGGTGAAAAGGTTTCACTCTGCAGGCTCACAGCTCTCCCACCACCTGTCTGTCTGTCACCTAGTCACTCCTCACAGAGATCAGAAATATCATCTCCTTGGAGCTACAGGAAATCTCTGGGGTTTCTCTCAGCTGTCACTGCCTCATCTTGGTGTTTTCTCCTTCAAAGTCCCATTGAACCACAGTTCCCTGAGTGCAGCAGGTTTCTGAGTCCCCACAAAGAGCTCCGACCCCATGGAGAACCCTCCAGCCAGCACAGCACAGGTACTGCTGCTAACAAACCATCCTGAGCCTCCTCCAAACCCTGGGGAAAACACAGCATTAGATATGTGGCAGTGGGAGAGTCATGCAGTGCTCGGAAACACAATCAGAGAGATCACCACTACCTGGAGGGTCTGGACTTGCTGGCCTGAGGCGGATGCCACCTGGGCCTCAGTCTGCAGCTGGACAGCAGTGACACCTCCCTGCTGCTGGGAACAGGAACAGGGAGAGCTTGAAACATGGAAGTGCACAGCTCTGACACCACACAACACACTGCTGGGAGAGCTCAGCTCCAAATTCACACTGCTCCGGGGACAGGAGGAATGGGAACGTTCAGCAAACCCAGGGGTGGAATTCCAACAGATCTGCACAGACACTGACAGGCCTCAATATCCCACAGATTCACTCACAGAGAACAGGAGGGATTGTTATTCTGCAGAACTTAAACCAGTTTCAGTGTTTCAGCCTGCTCCGTGCTCAGGTTTCTCACTCTGAAGGGTTCCAGATTGTTGTCACTATGGTTAGTCTCAACAAAGGCCAGAAACTCCTTCCTGCAGCACAGTCTGAGCTCCATCTCCACCACCCCTGGAGGGTCAATCTCTGCCCACCACTGCCCTGGGAGGACAATCTTGAGAGGCTGCACAAGCAGTGAGAGCTAAGAGCCTTTTCTATCTTTAGCCTCTTTGGTAAGAGTCCCAGAATAGTCTGTGTGACTGTGCTAGCCCTGGGAGGGGTAGGACAGTTCTCCCCTAAAGCAGCACTGCAACAGCTCCTGTGGGAAACACATTTCATGTCAGACACAACACAGGCTGTCAGAGCATGTCCTGGAACGAGAGCCAAGGGATGGTTTCACCTCCTCTTTAACACAGAGTGTCAATAAAACCAAAGAGATCTCTAGTGAGCTGCTGAAAACAGGTATTTTTAATAAGCTTTAATATCAACTGTTTTAACCTCAAACACAATCTTGTTCTGACTGAAAGAGTTAACTTCAGCTAAACTCATGGAAGAAGTTGGACCCTGCTGAAGCCAAATCCCACTGAGGACATGATGCAGTGGCACATCCCTTTGCATGACAAACCCCCAAACTCCTCTTGCCTAGAACTGGAGCAAACAGAAAAGGCAACAGAAATTCAGCAGCAGCACAGCTCACCTGAAAATGCTTTATTACATCTCACTGGGGGAAGCTTAACAGCTAAAATCAATAAGCCCTTAAAACCCTATCCCTGCTCATGGGCACACTGTGACAGGAACTAGGAACTTGAGTCTGGGAGGATGAAACCCAAACCCACATGCTTGGCTTAATTCTTGCAGTGTTTGCTTTGATCCACTCATAGTTCTAGCACAGAGAATCTCAATAAACACTTCAGCTGAAAGAAGCCTCTATGGGCTTGAACAAAACCTGTTCCAATTTTGGGGGAATCTGCACTGTTCCTGTGGACAACTGACTGATCCTGTGAATGTTCTGTCTCTTCCATTTCCAGAGAAAATTTGTAATTTTCCTCACGTCACTCCCAGTGTGCAAACTCCCGGCTGCACTGAGATGTGTAACTCGTGCTCCTGCAACTCAATAACGAGCACATTGCCAAACCCACATTTACTGATTCCAGCCCAGTCAGATCGCTGAGCAGGTGACAGAGTAAGAGTGGATCATGGGAGCACCCCAGTGCTTCTGTGACCCCCTGAGGAGCCAAAGGGACGTGTCCCTGTGCCCACCTGTCCCCACAGTCCATACCTGCTGCTGGATCTGCCCAGCCTGCACCACAATCTGCTCCGTGGAGCTGTTGCTGTTGGCTGTGTACTGCTCCATGGTGCCTCAGCTCAGCACTGCACACCTGCAAGGACAGGCAAACAGCAGGGGGTTATTGTGGAAGATCTGGGTCATCCTACAGGAGCTGCAAAGCAAACCATGAGCTGCCACCAAGGGCAGGAGCTCCCGGGAGGTCACAGCAAGGACACACCTCCCTCAAAACCCTCAGTAACTAGAGGTGTCAGTTCGAGCACATCTGACCTGAGTGAACAGCACATGTGCTGCTTCCTCATCCTGCAAGGGATGATCTCACTCCCTTCACTGAGCAGAGCATCCAGGTCCCATTGGAAATATCAGGGATCAATGGCAGGAGAGCAGCTCCTCCTCAAGCTGCTCTGCACTGGGGATGGCTGAGTGCTCCTCTTCAGGGAGCAGATAGTCACACACACACATATGTACACGTGTGTACCTGTATCTTTATATACATCTCACAGAATCCCAGGATATTCCCAGCTGGAAAGGGCCCACAAGGATCATCAGAGTCCAATTCCTGTCCCTGCACAGGACACCCCAAGGATGAATAACACACGCTGTATACGTATACACGAGGCCATAGAAGGTACTCCAGTAAGTTTCCTCACCAAACACCCCACACTAAGCACGACTCAGAACGATAAACACTCCCGGGACTCGAGGCAGCCCAAAAGCATCACTTAAACGTGTCCCCCCTGGAGCAGAAACCGCAGCACTAGCAGTGCCAGTGCCCCGAGCCGGCAGTGTCCCCGGTGAAGGAGTAACGCCGCGGCAAGGCCAGGACCGAACAGCGCGGAGGCCGCGGGACTCTCCCGGCTCGCCACATGTGCTGCCCACGATTCGTTTCTGGCTCCCCGTGCTCCCCCCGGAGAGCCCTGAGGTTCACCGCAGGAACCTCCGCGGCGGATCCCCCA